TATCTTTCATAAATGAAGGACAAACAAAAGCTGAGGGAATTTATCACCAGTAGACATGCCCTACAAGAAATGCTTACGGGAGCCCTATACTTGAAAACAAAAGAATGATATCTACCGTCATGATGAAAACACATGAAAGTATAAAATCCACTAGCAGAGCAAACACACAAATAAGGGAAAAAAAGGACTCAAATGTTACTACTATGGAAAACCACCAAACCACAATGATAAACAATAAGAGAGAAAGGAAAAAAGAATATACAAAACAACCAGAAATCAATTAATAGAATAAAAAAATAAGCCCTTACGTATCAACAATAACCTTGAATCTAAACATATTAAACTTCCTACATATATCTTCCTGCTAAAAGATATAAACTAGCTGAATGAATTTTTTAAATGACTAACTACATATTACCTAAAAGAAACTCAACTCACTTATAAAGATACACGTGGACTCAAAGTAAAGGGGTAGAAAAGATATTCCATGCAACAGAAACAAAAAGTGAGCAGAAGTAGCAGATAAAACAGACTTTAAGCCAAAAACAATAAAAAGAGACAAAGGAGGTCATTAAATAATGATAAATGCATCAATTTAGCAAGAAGATATAACAATTGTAAATATATATGCACTCAACACTGCAGCACCCATATATATAGCAAATATTATCAGATCTAAAGGGAGAGAAGACTCCAGTACAGTAATAGTGGGTTGTTGAAGTCCCCCACACTCAGTATACAAATAAATTGGATTTAAACTGCACTTTAGACCAAATGGACCTAACATTTACAGAACATTTCACTCAACAGCTACAGAATATATACATCATTCTCATTAGCACATGAAACATTCTCCAAGACAGACTATATGTTAAAACACAAAACAAATCTCAAAACAAACTTTAAAATTGAAATCATATCAAGTATCCTCTCGGACCACAGTAGCATAAAACTAGACATCAACAAGAAGAGAAACTTTGAAAACCGTATAAATACATAGAAATTAAACAACCCGCTCCTGAATGACCATTGGGTCAATGAAGAAATCAAGGAGGAAATAAAAAATTCTTGAAACAAGTGCAAATCAAGACAAAACATACCAAAATATAGAATACAGCAAAAGTAGTACTGAGAGGCAAATTTATAGTATTATAGTAACAAGTGTCTACATTTTCAAAAACAGTACAAAGGTTTCAAATAAGCAATCTAATAGTACACCTCAAGGAACTAGAAAAGCAAGAACAAACCAAATCCAAAATTAATAAAAGGAAAGAACTAATAAAGATCAAGGCAGAAATAAATGAAATAGAGATGTAAAAACAATACAAAAGGTCAACAACATGAAAAGCTGGTTTTTCAAAAAGATAAACAAAACTGATAAACTGCTAGCTATACTAACCAAGAAAAGAAGAGAGAAGGCCCAAATAAAATCAGAAACAAAAAAGGAGACATTACAACTAATACCACAGAAATACAAAAGATCATCAGAGACTATTATGAACAACTATATGCTAACAAGCTGGAAAACCTAGAGGAAATGAATAAATTCATGGACACACACAACCAAGGTTCAATCAGGAAGCAACAGAAGACCTGAACAAACCAGTAACTTGTAATGAGATTGAATCTGTAATCAAGTCTCCCAACAAGGAAAAGCCAAGGACTGGAAGGCTTCGCTGCCAAACTCTACCAAAATTACAAAGAAGAACCAATACCAATTATTCCAACTATTCCAAAAAATTGAAGAGGCAGAAATTCCTCCTAACTCATGCCACAAGGCAAGCATTACCCTAATACCAAAACCAGACAAGGACACACACCCAAAAGAGAAAACTACTGGCCAATATCCCTGATAAAAATAAATGCAAAAATCCTCAACATAATACTAGCAAATCAAATCCAACAACACATTAAAATGATAGTACACCATGATCAAGTGGGATTTATCCCAGGGTTGCAAGGATGGTTCAAACATGCAAATCAATAAACATGATACATCACATCAACTGAATAAAGGATAAAAACCACATGATCATCTCAATAGATGCAAATAAAGCATTTGACAAAATTCAACATCCCTCAACAAACTAGGTGTAGAAGGAACATACCTCAAAATAATAAAGCCCATATATGACAAATCCACAGCTAACATCATACTGAATGGGGAAAAGTTGAAAGCCTTTCTTCTTAGAACTGGAACAAGACAAGGATGTCCACTTTCACCTTTCACCATAATACTGGAAGTTGTAGCCAGAACAATCAGATAACAGAAAAATAAAAGGCTTCAAACTTGGAAAAGAAGAAGTCAAATTGCTGCTCTTTGCAAATGACGTGATTTTACACCTAGAAAAATCCAAAGACTTATCAAAAAAACCTCTCAGATCTGATAAATGAATTCAGTAAAGTTGTAGGATACAAAAGCAACCTACAGAAATCAGTAGCATTTCTATATAACATTAATGAACTATCTGAGAAAGAAATGGAAAAGGCAATCCCACTTAAAATAGCTATGAGAAACCAAACTACCGAGGAATAAATTTAACCAAGGAAATGAAAGACCTGTACAAGGAAAACTACAAAATATGTAAGAAAGAAATCGAAGATGACACAAACAATGGAAAAACATCTTATGCTCACGGATCAGAATAATTAACATTGTTAAAATGGTCATAATACCCCAAGAAATCTGCAGATTCAATGCTATTCCTATCAAAATATCAGCATCTTTCCCAGAATTAGAAAAAATAATACTAAAATTCCTATGGAACCAAAAAGGAGCCCAAATAGCCAAAGCAATTTGATCAAAAAGAACAAAACAGGAGGCATTACTTTACCTAACTTCAAATATATTACAGAGCTATAGTAACAAAAACAGCATGGTATTGACAGAAAAACAGACACACAAGCCAATGGAACAGAATAGATAACCCAGAAATCAATCCACATATTTACAGCCAAACTGATTTTCAACAAAGGCATGAAGAACACACATTAGGAAAAAGACATCTTCTTCAATAAAGGGTGTTAGGAAAACTGGATATCCTTATCCAGAAGAATGAAACTGAACTCCTATCTCTCACTATATACAAAAACCAACTCAAGACGGGATTAAAGGCTTAAATGTAAGACTCAAAACTATAAATCTACTAGAAGAAAACATAGAGAAAACACTTTAGGACATTGGTCTAGGCAAAGATATGGCTAAGACCTCAAAAGCACAGGGAACAAAAACAAAAATATATGAATGAGACTATATTAAACTAAAAAGCTTCTGCACTACAAGGAAAGCAATCATCAGAGTGAAGACAGAACCTGTCGTATGGGAAAAAATGTTTGCAAACTATTCATCTGATAAGGGATTATTATCCAGAATATATAAGAAACTCAAACAACTCAATAGTTAAAAAATAATAATAATAATCCCATTAAAAAAGTAGGCAAAGGACATGAATAGACTTTTCTCAAAAGAAGACACACAAATGGCCAACCGGTACCCACAAAAAAAATGCTCAACATCACTAATCATCATCACTAATCATTAGGGAAATACAAATCAAAACCACAATGAAATATCATCTTACCCTAATTAGAATGGCTATTATTAAAAAGATAAAAAATAACAGATGCTGGTGAGGATGCAGAGAAAAGGGAACTCATATTTCTTGGTGGGTGGGAATGCAAATTGTACAGCCATTATAGAAAACAGTATGGAGATTTCTCAAAAAACAAAAAATAGAACTACCATCTGATTCAGCAACCCCACTATTGAGTGTCTGTCCAAAGCAAACAAATCAGTATATCAAGAGGATGAATAATAGCATCATGTACAGTCCTGCCTTCCTCCATAGTCTGCTGGGTTCAGCTGTGTTGGTGAATTCAGTAGTTCTTGTCCGATGATGCAAAACTCTTAAGTGTTGGGGGAAATTATTTATGACCCATAATAATGTCAAACTTCTACTGATATAATTTCTCTGTTTACCAATCGTGTATAAACCAATTCTCATCAAAGAAATATGTATCATAGAACATACTGTACACGTGGAAAGAATTAAAATACACAGTAGCATACGTTGGGAGAATTAGTGAGAAAGGGTTTTTTAAATCCTTTACTATTCAAAAGGAGGGTAAAAATATCAACTACAATTGAATATTTAGAAAATAAAGAAGTGCTGTAATTGCAAGGGTATTGCGATTGTTAGGTTGGGCTAATTGCTGTAATAAACAACCCCCAAAATCTCAGTGGTTATGGAATAAATGTTTCCTTCTTGCCTCGGTAACCAACAAATGTAGATGGGTGGGGCTCTATTCGGCTCAGCTACTCAGTGGTCCAGGTTCCTCCCACGTTTTGGGTCTGTCTCCCCAGGAACCTCCGGTCCTCCCTGGGATCTCATACCTGGCTACCGATAAGAAGGCGACAGCAGGTGTGGAGGAGACTTTTAAGGAGCCATGCCTAGAAGTAGTGGATGTCTTTTATGTCCAAATTCCAATCAGCAGAGCTGAGCAACTAAAAGGGAACTGGACGAATTCACAGTTTTGGCCCCACCAAATAGCCTCACTGGTGACAGAACGGGAAGGGGGAAAAGAGGTAGGGGAAGAGGAATGATGAACAAATACTCCCAATCAATCAAAAACAGGCAAGAAAATAGAAGAAATGCAAGGGTTTCCAATCCATACTACACCGCTGTCACTCTTGGGACCACAACTTGCCCTCCCTGAACCTCGGTTTTGTAAACAGAAAACATAAAATACTGACGAGGGATGGTAAACTGATTCAACCAGACAACGCAGGGAAAGTGCTTAGCACGCTGCCTGACACGAACTTACTGTGCCTGGCTGCTGCTGTTATTTATCACTAACACTTGCCACAGCAGGTCGAACGCGCGCGTTTGCGGACCCGGCGCTGAGGGTCACGTGAGCAGCTGGGGGCGGGGAGGATCCCCTAGCGCCACTCCGGCCCCGCCCCGCGCGTAGCCACGCCCACCCGCCAGGGCCGGAAGAGAGGTTGCTTAGCAGCGTGTGTTTCTCCTTAGCCTTGGCTGCGGCGGCCGAGGCCTGGCGATGCCCAAGAACGCAGTGGTCATCTTGCGGTATGGGCCCTACAGCGCGGCAGGCCTGCCGGTGGAGCACCACACCTTCCGCCTGCAGGGCCTGCAAGGTGGGCCTCCCCGCCCGCCGCGTTCGCCCCTGAGCGCCCCAGCCTCTGAGCATCCGTGCAGGTGGTGCCCCGTGCCTAGGCCTTCCTGCCTCAGACTCCGACGAAGCGCCACCTCTCCAGGAAGTCTTCCGCAGGATGATGTAGCAACCTGTGGCTTCTAGGGCTGGGCTAAAAGCGTGGGAACGCTCTTCTATCCAAGAGTGAGCTGTGGGCCCACCCAGTGCCCAGCAAATTACAGAAATTACCTCCCTAGAAAAAATTACATAACCCTGCTTTAAGAATTGGGAAACTGACGATCAAGAATATTAAGTGACTTTAACAAGTCAAATGGCTGGGAAGTAGCATTGCTGGGATTCCATCTCTTAATCGTTCATGCAACAGACTTTTATTAAGCACCCAGTGTGTGTTGGACACCCTTCCAGGGACTGAGGACACACTGTTAAACGGTGATGCATGTCTTTGAAGTAATCTCCTTGTTAACTGCTAAATGACAGTTGTGCCTAAGCTCTAACTGAGGCTAGGGTGGTGCCATGGGAACTAACCATAGTGGGACCTGTGACTAGCTATAATGGGAGGGGAGAGGGAGAGGTCTGGAAAGGCTCATTTAAGTGGAGCATTAAATGAGCCCACATTTGAGCAGACCTTTAAAGAATGAGTAGAAACTAACCAGGTAAAGAGAGGAATGCCTCCCAGGCAGAGGAGACTAATAATGTAGGCAATGCCTGGAGGCATTCAACAAATGATGTATTAATATTTGTTAAACTGATGGGGGATGAGGCTGGAGTGGTAGTCAGGGGCCAAATGCTGCAGGGCCACAGACAAGTTTTAGGCAGGGATGAAGCTGTTACCACTCTGAGAACAGATTAGAGTGGGGCAAGAGTGGAAACAAGGAAAACAAGACTGTTGGGGGTGGTCCAGGGCTGAGATGAAAGTAGCTTGGACCATAAAGGAGACCATGGATCAAAGTGAAAGCAATGGTACTTCCTGAGAGGATGGATATGTGAGGTAAGGGTAAAAAGAATGTTATCCGGATCTAGTCAGCGTCTGGCTTGAAACAGTGCTGATGGATGGACGTACTGTCCACTAAAATCGAAGACACCAAAGATGGACCACAATTTGGAGGAATATGTGGAACAGTTCCAGAGGAACAGTCTATTTTGGACATACAGATAGTCCCCGACTTAGACTTTTTGACTTTAGGATGGGTTTACTGGGAGGTAACCCTATCGTAAGTCGAGGCAAATCTGAACTTACAGTGGTTCTACTTAATGATTTTTCCACTTTATGATGGGCTTATCCAGGTATTAAGCCCACTTTCCATTTACAGTGCATTTATTGGGACCTAACCCCATCGTAAGTCAAGGAGCATCTGAATTAAGCTTCATGTGCTTTCAGTTACCTTGACAGAGGTGCTGAATCAGCTCTGTTGTTCTGGAGTTCAGAGAAAAAGTCTGAAATGGAGATAGAAAGACGTGAGTCATTGACTTGGAGAGAACATATAGAATGAGATGACGGCCCAGGAATCAGCATTGATGAACTCCCATCATATGACCCAAACTAAGAATCTTCCAGGGAAAATACCCTGAAGTCAAAGGACACAAAAATTAGTTTTAGCTGAGCAATCGGGGAAAGCCTCCTGGAGGAGATGGCATTTGAGTTTGAGTTTGAAGGATGGGTAGGATTTCAATCAGCAGAGGAAGTTGCTTTCTGTGAGAGAACAGTTGATAGAGAAATTTGTGTTGCAAATACTTCCATGTTTGTATTTATCTATTGGGACTGCCATAACAAAATACTATAGACTATGGGACTTAAACAATAGAAATACATTTTTTCAGTCTAAAGGCTAAAAGTCCCTGATCAAGGTCTGGCAAGGTTAGCTTGTGGTGAGGGCTCTGGGCACTCTTCCTGGCTTACTGACAGCCACCTTCTCTCTTGTCCTCACCTGGTGGGATTTTTTAGGGAGAGCGAGGAGCAAGCTCTCTGGTATCAGTTCTTATAAGAAGAAATACACTAATCCTATCAGATTAGGTCCTCACCTTTATAACCTCATTTAACCTTAATTACTTCTTTAAGGACCTATCTCCAAATAGTCACATTGGGAGTTAGGGCTTCCATATATGAAGTTGGGGGAAGGGGGCAACAATTCAATTCATAGCAGTGTTGCATGGTGATGTTTAAAATGTTTTGAAGTTTTGGCTAAGAACACAGCCTAAATAAGTGACTTTTCTCTTCCTTCCCCTCTGATGAGCCACACCTACTCACCCTCACCTCATAATCCACCTTTAGTTTATGTTCACTTTCTCTAAAGATAACGTGGGTAAAATATGTATTTAAAATTTTGCCATTTTAACCATGTTAAGCATACAATTCAGTGACATTAATTATCTTTACAATGTTGTGGAACCATCACTGTTCTCTCTTTTTAAAATTTTTCAACACCTCAGACAGAAACTGTATTCATTAAGCAATAACACTCTGTCCCTCTGTGTCCAGAATGTATTCCTTCTGGTGGGTTCTTGGTCTTGCTGACTTCAAGAATGAAGCCACAGACCTCACGGTGACTGTTACAGCTCACAAAGTGGCGTGTCCAGAGTTGTTTGTTCCTCCCAGTGGGTTCATGGTCTGGCTGACTTCAGGAATGAAGTTGCAGACCCTGGCGGTGAGTGTTAACAGCTCTTAGAGGTAGTGCAGACCCAAGGAGTGAGCAGCAGCAAGACTTATTATGAATAGCAAAAGAACAAAGCTTCCATAGCGTGGAAGGGGATGCGAGCAGGTTGCCGCTGCTGGCTCGGGAGGCCAGCTTTTATTTCCTTATTTGGCCCCACTCATGTCCTGCTGATTGGTCCATTTTTACAGAATGCTGATTGGTGCTTTTACAATCCTCTAGCTAGACACAGAGCGCTGATTGGTGCATTTACAATCCTCTAGTTAGACAGAAAAGTTCTCCAAGTCCCTACCCAAACCAGAAGCCCAGCTGGTTTCACCTCTCACCTCCATCCCCAGCCCCTGGTAACCTGCAATCTACTTTGTATTTTATTTCAGTTAGCATAATATTTCAAGGTTTATCCATGCTACAGCATGTATTATAGTACTTTATTCCTTTTTGTGGCAGATATACCATATTTTGTTTATCCATTCATCTGTTGATAGACACTTGGGTTGTTTCCACCTTTCCGCTACTGTGAATAGTGCTGTTATGAACATTGGTAAATACATAACTGTTTGAATCCCTATGTTTCAAGGGAGTGAAATTGCTGAGTCATATAGTAATTCCTTATTTAACTTTCTGAGGAATGACCAAACTGTTTTCTGAAGCAGCTGCACCATTTTACATTCCCACTAGCAATGCACAAGGATTTCAATTTTCTTTGGTTTTAATTATAGCCATCCCAGTAGGTGTGAAATGGTAACTTGTGGTTTTCACTTAAATTTCCCTAATAATTGGTGATGTTGAACATCTTTTCATGTGCTTATTGACCATTTGTATGTCTTTGGAGAAATGTCTGTTCTTTGCCCATTTTTTAAATTCGGTTGCACTTTTTTTGTTACTGAGTTGGAAAATTTATTTAGATATTCTGAATATGAGACCCTTAAGAGATAAATGATTTGCAAATATTTTCTCCTACTCTGTAAATTAGCTTTTCACTTTCTTGATAGTGTCCTTTGCTGCACAAAAGTTTTAATTTTAATGAAGTCCAATTTATCTGTTTTTTTCTTATGTTACCTGTGATATGTTGTTTAAGAAACCATTGTCTGCTGGGCGCAGTGGCTCACACCTGTAATGCCTGCACTTTGGGAGGCTGAGGCAGGTGGATCACTTGAACCCAGGAGTTCAGGACCAACCTGGTTTGAAGTTCAAAACCAGCCTTTTTTTGTAGAAACCAGCCATCTCTATAGAAAAGACAAAAATTAGGTGGGTATGATGGCACGCAGCTGTAGTCCCAGCTACTCAGTAGGCTGAGGTGGGAGGATCGCTTGAGCCCTGGAGGCCGAGGTTGCAGTGAATCAAGGTTGTGCCACTGCACTCCAGACTGGGTGACAAGGAAGAGACTCTGTCTAAAAAAAAGAAAGAAACCATTGTCAAATCTAAGATTATGCAGATTTGCCCCTATGTTTTCTTCTAAGAGTTTTATAATTCCTAAATTTAGATCTTTGACCCATTTTGAGTTAATTTTTGTATATGGTGTAATGTAAGAGTCCAAATTCATTCAAAAGATATTCATGTGGATATCCATTATCCCAAGACCTTTTGTTAAAGAGACTGTTCTTTACCCATTGAATGGTCTTCGCATCTATGTCAAGCATCAACTATTCATTCATATCAGTCATTGTGAACATTTATTTCTAGGCTCTCAATTCTATTCCATTGCTCTATATGTCTATCCTTATGTCTGTATCACATGATTTTGATTACTGTAGCTTTCTAGTAAGTTTTGAAATCAGGAAATGTGAGTCTTCCAACTTAGTTGTTTCTCAAGATTGTTTTATCTATTTTAGGTACCTTGCAATTCCCCATGAATTTTAGGATAGGTTTTTCCACTTCTGCAAAAAACACCATTGGGAATGTGATAGGTATTGCATAGAATCTGTATAATCCTTTGTGTAGTATTGTTATTTTAACAATGTTAAGCCTTTTAGTCCATGCACACAGGATGCATTTTCATTTATTTAGATCTTCCTTAATTTCTTTTAGCAACTTTTATAGTTTTCAGTGTATAAGACTTGCACCTAATTGTTTGCATATATTCCTAAGTGTTTTGTTCTTTTAAATACTATTATAAATGGAATCGTTTTCTTTATCTCCGTTTCAGATCAATCATTGCTAGTGTGTAGAAATACAACTGCTTTTTGTGTGTTAATTTTGTTAATTTCTTCAACTTTGCCAATTTCATTTATTAGCACTAACAACTTTTTTTTTTAAGAACACTAGCAGTTTTGGGATATAAGATCATGCAATCTGCAAATAGAGGTAGTCTTCTTCCTTTCCAATTTAGATGACT